CTCAGCATCAGCTGCACCAGGAGCTCTGGTGGAGTGTCACAGGAAAGACGCACATACTGTAGAGAAAAGAGCACTTTATGTACTATGCGTGATCCTATATTATATAGGCACTGTTTAATAGGCATCTATGATACGTTTTTTTGTCCTTGTATGCACTAACCTTGGCACGACATGTGCGCTTTGTGCTGCCCTGGAAGTCCAGCGATCCGAAAGCATCGGTGGGGCTGATGCTGGTGTGTCGTAGCACTGACCACTCCTCATCAGTAGGGTCTGCCCCAGGGTAATGTCCCAGCAAGCCAGAGTATGGTCCCACATGCTCTGCGATCAGCCTCCCACAACAACATCTGAGGACAGAGATGACATAAGCCAAGTCAGATGAAGAGACCACTTTGAGACTGTTGAAACTTCATATTTTCAGGATTCCCACAGTTTTTGACCAGTGAATTACTGACTTTTCCAGTAGTGATTCCTGGGTAAGGAACTGAAAAATTATTTCATAAATCACACTCACAAAGAGCACTAAATTCTTTACAATGAAATATTTTATGGCTGAGCATGACTATACGGAGCCCCGCACAAGACATGCGAGAAAAAAATATGTATATTGTGGCCACAAATTAACAACTTACTAATGCGTCAGCACGCTTTACTAATTCGTTCCCTCGTTTTAAGTAAATTGTGGGCACAATATAATATTTTGTACCTTTGATTTATTAATGTGGCCACGTTGTAATAATTTGTTCCCTTGTTTTAGTTAAATCGTGACCGTGTATGACTAGAAAAATTTGATTGACAAAAAAGGTTTCCCTGATTTTACTATGATTTCTTGCGAATCATTAAAATTTCCATGACTGTGAGCTTTTACGTAAAAATAAGGAAAATGAGAAAAACATTTTCATGGAAATAAATATAGAATGTATGGACTGATGATCAAAATAAATAATACCTTACTAAGCTTTGGCACACTTGACACACTGGATAACACCTGCAAAACAGTAGAAATTGCAATTCATATGGGTCTTTTAAGACGAAACGAATAACCTAAATTACACTTGATTAACTAATATTATCATCACTAAAAGATAATATGCAGATAGGACAACCAAGATTATTAAGCACACCTGTGATGATCACGTGAGGCTGGCAGAAATTTTACACATTCTCTCTTGTAAAAAGTGGCCTGGATCCAAGTAGGTCTAGACTGAAGGGAAAAGAAGTTGTAATGTTTGTCATATTATAGGCCACTATTACCACTATATTGTTATTGTTGACTACAACTATTACAATTTTCTATTCATTAAAATAAATGGGAAATATAATATTAGATTAAAAATGGGAAATGTTGATTTGGAAACTAACTGAAATAAAATAAGTTGGAAGTATAAAATCCTTAAAACTAAAACAATACATTAAAGCTAAATAGGGATATTAAAACAATTAATAAAAATGACAAAAACAACTAAATTACTTAAACATAAAACTAAAATGAAAACGATGAAATATTACTAAAATAACACTGGTGTGTGTGTGTGTGTGTTCCTGGTAAACCTGATGTGGTGGAGACATTTTTGGTTCCCATGAGGAAACCATGATGTGTTTTTGAAAATGTAAATATGCAGAAGGTTTTCTGTGAGGGTTGTGTTTAGGGGTAGGGTTAAGGGATATACAGTTTATACAATATAACAATCATTATGTCTATTAAGTCCCCATAAAACATGGAAACCAGTGTGTGTGTGTGTGTGTGTGTGTTTGTTTTTGTGATATATGAGGACACAAATGTGTATAATGACATGCATATTACACTGGTATTACAACTTACACGTGATATATGAGGACATTGCATGAGTCCTCATATTTCAAATAGCTTAAAAAACATAAAAAACAATGTTTTTTTTTAAATGTAAAAATGCAGCATGTCTCCTGTGATGGGTAGGTTTAGGGATAGGGGCAGTGTAGGGGGATAGAATATACAGTTTGTCCAGTATAAAAGTCATTACGCCTATGGAATGTCCTCATATATCACAAAAACAAAGCTGTGTGTGTGTGTGTGTGTGTGTTAGTGTGTGACGCAACATACCATTTCCCCTCAAATCTCTTTTACAGCACAGTCAGTCAGTCATGAATACTTTCAGCATTGCAGATCTTTGCTAGACAAAAAACAACAATGCTTTATAGCGTGCGATGGAAAATTACGTACACATCCTTTTCCGGGAATTATTGGGTGAAATTATGAGACTCAAATGAGAAACAAAATTCAGAACTTAAAATACCGCCATCTAGCCGAAGAAATGAAAACGAATAATAGGGTGGAGAAACAGTGACCGAAACAAAACATACAGTACTTAGACTAACTGTACAAATACATTCGTGCATTTGAACGAAAAGAGGTCGTAAACTCTTGTAACTATACGCATGCAAAACAACAATCCAGTGCGGAATGGGAGGTGAGATAACTGAAACACAAGTTTTAACATGCCTTAGAGAAAATCCCTGTAGGATATAAGTTTTCGTTTCACCCAAAAAGGCAATTACCCGAGATAACATACTGCTGCTTAGCGCTTCATTTACCTTTGTAATAGTCTTGTTTTCCCAGTCATGCTTTCCATAAATTCAGCGTACTCTTATTCCTGCAGTAAACGGGCATAATTGAAGAGGTGCGATGATCTAGGAAGTGGGTGGGCTTTACCAAGTGCTGTAAGTGTCGAGTGTGGACATGCCACTGGAACTTTAACTGCGAACTTGTGTTTCGTTCTGGGAAGCTCGTGCTTATTCAAGAGAGACCAATAGTAGTTGCATAACATCACAAATGTAACTTCATTCTTGACTTTCTTCCAGTAAAAGTTTCGAATTGGTTTTCAGATGCTTATTATTGTGATTTTTTTTTTCTCGTTCAAAGTGTCATATAATTTCGTACTGGTTTCAAGAGCATTGGAGCAAAAGGGAAAATGTGTTCGTGAATGACTAACTAAATGCGCACAGGCTGTTAAATGTAGTTAAGGAGGAGCGCAAATAATGGAAAGACCGGTGTTCTGACGATTTGTGCTGCCTTGTCGAAAAATGCTACCGTAGTGCGAATCGATCACAGAATGTCGATTAATATTATGTGAAATACAATTATAATACAATTCTAAGTTATGAGTAGCTACTGTATACTACTGTTTTTATTTTTTAAACGGTGTGAAAAGTAAAAATTATCATCAAATATTGACTTGTCAAAGCACACCTTTCCTTAACTGAAACTTTCAATTATTCTTCTTCAGCTGGCTGACTGTACAAATATTCATATGGTAGTTATCATTTTTTAAAGGGAAATTACTTTATAACACATGAAAATGTACCTTTTGTTAAAAAAAACTGAGTCTGCACATGCGCATAACCAGTAAGTAGCAAATCTCGATGGGTAGCATGAATCGTCAGAACACCTGTGTCAGGCCAGACAATCACGAGATGGCAATGCATCTTTACAAACAAACAATGTTTAGTTATGAAAATTTTCATTTCTGCAAAATAAGTTGCTAATATAGTTGCAAGTAGCAGTCATTGGGATTTTTGCACATAAACTCGCGATTATTCATATAATTATATTATTAATAGTTAATAATACAGTTTTAACACCAAATCCGTGCCATTTAGATGTATTACTGGTATGTAAATTGTTTCCCACTGTTATAGCGCCCTCTTCTGTCCAAACCGGATGAAACTTTGCATGCTTCTGACCCATGACTAGCCCACCAAGTTTACTGAAAATTTGCTGTTGTTAATTTTTTCTAACATCTTATGAAATCGGATTGGCTGATGGATGCCATATATATTTTGCTGTAGAGAAAATCTGTCGCCTTAAAAATATATTTAATATTTTTTCCACTTTCCATAACAGTAATGCAGGCTACATCATGTAAAATATGTATTCATTTAAATAATAATACAAAAACCTCTCACCTGTCATCAGAGGTGTGGAGCTTGATTCTCACATGCTTTCATTTTTATTTCTAGTAAAAAAAAAATTAATGGTCAATCTTTTGAATTGTGCCACCCAGAACTTGCCCTGACAACAACTGTTGCCATGCACCAGTTAAGTCTAAAACAAATTTGTCTAGTATACTAAATGATTGGAAAGAGGAAAACGACCTCTACAGTGAGCTCGATATTAGGTTTTTGGTATTTTCTTTTGTTGTCCTTGAGGTTAAAGCGTGTCTCTAAGTACTGAGCTGTTTCACTAGCTTAAATCCTAACAAGACCGCATTGTTTTCATCTTTCATGCACATCCCATTTACAGATATTTCCATGTATTCCCAGAGGACCACCTAAATGGGACAAAGTATCAAAACTTGGCTTACCATTGTATCATTTTACTTGCAAGCTTATTTTAGCTTAGCAGATGAGCATGACTATCTCCATGCTGATCACTTGCGATGCAATCTCCTGATAAAGCTGGAATGCTCTCAGCGCTTATTCCCTCCTAGACCAAAGGTCATGAGCACCTGACACAACAGGGTGGAAACAGGTATGTTTCACTTCCTTTGGATGAGGAATGAGGAAAGAGATCATGTCTACTCAATGGACCGTAGTCCAACTGTAAATGTTAACTGTAATGTACTTTACAATGTCGAAAAGAAGAATCATGAAACTAGACAGGCACCAAAGACAATGTAAGGCAAGCCAATATCAGGCATTTAAAAAAGAAATTTTATTGCTGTTGGGCAATTTCAAAAACACTGCAGTTACAGGCCAATGGAACATACAAAGCTCTTGCTCCATCTACTAAGTTCAGAAGCACCAAATACTGTTGTCAAAAAGATCATTTTGGTTAGAGGAAAGGAACACAGCCCCAAATTTTATATATATAAAAAAAACATTAACTAAAGAATAAAAGTGACAAATACCTTTTAAGCACCATAAACAGCTAACATTCAACATTTAGCAAACATTCAAGCTAAAGAAAGGCTTTGTGTCACCTTCAAAAGTTTAAACTTTTACAGCTACTAACAGAAAAAAACCCATACATGATCAGTTCAATATATACAGCATTATGCTTTCACACTTCTGAGCACATGAACCAAATAGGAGAGGACTGAGGTCACATGACCATGATGTGTTGTGTTGCTTGTGCTGGAGGCTTACAAACAATACAAAGCACACGGCTTTGTTCATACATTCATCTAGTGCAGATCAGGGGGAATCATCTCATGTCCAGTCGCGTAATTTGGCAACACAACATCTAAACAAGAATGAACCTGTCACTGTGCATTGGCGATCTCCTCAGGTTTCCATCGCCTCTAAGTCTTTGGTGGAAGAGGCTGTGCAGGACCCAGCTGAGGGTTCAGTCTCCAAGAGAGAGAGATCCAACTCAGGCAGTGGAACCTGCCAGAACTGGAAGGAATTGAATGGAGAGAGGTCCTCATCTGTGTGCATCGCCTAGTGGGATACAAGCAGAGCTAAATATCCAAAGCATTTACTACAGCAAACATTTGCACCAACAAGGGTGAAGTTTAATAGAATATGCTAAAAGTACCTGAAAGTTTGATAGTTTTGCCCCTGGTTTCACAGACAAGGATTAAGCCAAGTCCCAGACTAAAATGCATGTTTGAGCAGTTTTTACTGAAAGCAACTTGCACTGATCTTAAAGGGGTCCCATTAAAAACACATTTTTTTTACATTATTGCAGCTCCTCTCTCCCCAGTCTAGTTGAAAGCGTCGTTTTCGATAAAGTCCCTCCTTCCAAAATATGAAATGTGCTGTGATTGGTTAGCTGGCCCAGTGTGTTGTGACTCGCAATGCTTAGCGCGTGTTTGGAAAATGTACCATAACCGCAACCTCTACTCAGATGTAAATATTAAAGATGGCGTCAATTTCAAACCAATTCGTTAACCAATGTTAACGAACAATAGGAAAATGCAGAACGGATTTCAAGCACGGACTTTGCAAGCACGGATTTCACAGGACATTTCAGAGTGATGTTTAACGGCTCTGGGTTCAGATAGATACGCAGAACATCTTTTCAGTTCTCGCACATGCGTCGTGGTGCTCTCGTGAACGCACATCAGAGGCCCACATCGAAGAAAATGAATAGTTGAATAAAGTCGTTATTTTGGGGGGGTTTTTGCGCAGAAAAAAGTATTCTCGTCGCTTGATAAACTTAGGCCATGTCCACACTAATACGTTTTTGTTTGAAAAAGTATATTTTTCTCTCCGGTTTGGCCTTCCGTCCACACTGAGACGGCGTTTTAAGTCAATTTAAGTAAATTCCCCAAAGCGGATAAATTTTAAACCGCCGTTTTTGCGTTGTAGTGTGGACTGTGAAGCCGGAGGTATTTGAAAACGATGACGTAAGTTTAGTCATGTGATCCATGTTGTACCAATAGATATTCATGTTTACCGGTATTGTGCCTGTTATGTGCTATTCACTTTTACGCTGTTGCTAAAATATGTTACTTTGCACACTCTTCATATCACAGTCCTGCACAGATGACAGAAAATGTACTCACATTTGCTGTCCTGCGGCAATACAGGAGAGCAGTTGCGTTTTAGACCAAACATATGGTGACTGAGTGCGACCTGGACGCATCAGTGATGGTGAGATATTTTGCTAAATAAAATATTTTGCGCGATAACTTTATTATTTATTTTTCCATCTGTGTCATCTCGGTGAGCTTTTGTGAGGTTTCACGCATGCGCAGTAAGGTGAATTTAGAAGTTTCGCATCCACACTGAAATAGGGCTGTCACTTTACGTTCGAAAATCGATTGCACAATCGATCGGACCAACCAACACAAGTATCGAAAACGAAAATAGGGAATCGATTTTAATGGCCTTTTTTTTTTTTTTTTACCAAAAATGTGTTTTAGGTGGACAGATCAATACAGCACACAGAACATGTAGGATGGCGGAAAATAACAATGTCTTTTCTGTTAACCAAATGCTTTTTAATATTCGCTATTACTTAAATGCAAGTGAATAAGCGCGCCGTTATTTGTTGCGTAGTGACGTGTGTGTTCAAGTAAGCCAGAAATGCGCAGATTCTGCTCAATACGCTGTATTTAATATATCATGAGGACTCACGAGTTGCGTATTTGCACATATACATATTTGCACATATTTGCGTATATAAACATAGAAATACGCCAGATTGGCTCGTGATTTGACAGAGTTTCCCGCCAAAGTTCAAAGTTCCCTCTTCACCCGCATTTGGTGGGTTGGAGGGTGTTAATTTCAATCTCTGAATGTTGCGCTCATTGTGCACGAAACTTCACGCCAATAAATCATCAGAAATATTGCTGACTTGCGCGTCTCAAGCGCCCTCTTTACGTTCGTCCTAATGCCTGTTAGGTGTCCGTGGATTTGCCTGTATTTGGTGATGAAAATGGAAACGTCTTTAGACATGGAAAATCGATTTTACAATCGATTCAATGAACACTTATGTCTCAAAAAATCGAACAGGATTTTTTCACAAGTGACAGCCCTACACTGAAACGCCTGAAAACGCTAGTGTGGACGGAGAGCGTTTTTAAACGAAAACGCCGTTTTCAAATGTATACGGATTAATGTGGACGTAGCCTTAAGGTTGAGCCACTGTAGTCACTTGGACTATTTTAACGATGTTTTTACTAACTTTTCTGGGCCGGCAGATGCAATTACCTAGCAGCCTATGAAGGAGTGAGACAGCTCTTAGATTTCATCAAAAATATCTTAATTTGTGTTCCGAAGATGAACGAAAGTTTTGCGGGGTTGGAACAACATGAGGGTGAGTAATTACTGACAGAATTTTCATTTTTGGGTGAACTAACCCTTTAATTCATACTTTGCACGTGACGTCACAAGTACTGGCTGGCGGGCAAGAACGTCATTCTCTAGCAACGAAACCCAGTAAACTAATCAAGGATCTTGCCAGGACGTCGTCAGTTTTAATATACAAAAGTTGGCGTTTTGTCATCTGTATGTGATTTGATTTGATATGAGAAGATGAATAGATGGAGAATGAATTACACCACGTTACTGTTGCACTGCGTCTACTTATTACTTACTTACAGTTACTTTGCATGCATACTATCGTACACTTATTACTATACTACATTACAGCCTAAAAGATTGCTAACAGGATTATACGCATATTTCGTTGCTCTTGTCTGATGCTATGTGGAGTGGATAAGCAGGTAGGCTACAATGTTTGACATCCTGCTAGCCATATGATACAGTTGGCATAAGTTTTTATTTTTTATTATTCAAGCTGCCATTCGCCGGCAGGCAGGGTGTACATATTCAGATGAAGACTTCATCACACGATGGAACAGATGTCACTTTGTGTATAGCTGCAAACATTAGCAAACGGACCTTTGCTTTGATTATGAAGATATTCCTGTTTTTCATCTGCCATACGACAGCGTTGTTAACCCATCCACGCTTGAAAAATAGATAGCTATCTGTACTTTTGTAGGCTTTCATTTTTTGTGCGGTGTAAGGTGACGGATTCTCTATAAGATATATGTAAATATCTCCAAACTCCAAGTCTGGTAGAGACTTTGCCAGCTTCAAAGCAATGAAAACATCAGCAGGTACTGTGTACTACGTTCCGAGTATGTTAATCTTTTCTTGATATCTAATTTTAACATTCGGTGACATATGGTCTACTCTAAATAGTTAATTGATTGTAGTATTGAAAATTTGCAAGGCTGCAATTCCCCTGGCTGGCCACTGTTTGTCGCCATTTTGTCAGCGTTTGTTGCCCGCCAGGTATCTATGGTAGTCACGTGACTGCAAAGTGTGAATAGAAAAAACAACTACAAATACTACTTACAAGTTGTGATCCGTAAACAACAGATTGTCCCGACAAAAGGAGACAGGAGAAGCTTTTGTGCGTATAACCTGCATTGTACTCCCTTAAGGAAGCTGTTCTAAGTAAAATGTCCAGCACACAAACAAACGTTGATGTTATAATGTTCAGGAACAGTGTTAAAAATAAATTAACCAGTTTTTCAGCCTTAGACAGCGGCAACAATCTTCATCTTATCTAGCGCAGCTCAACCAGGCCTAGCCACATTTTTCAAGTGTGTCTGACTGCGTCCCACAGTACTACAAACCGCGGCCCTTCAAATTACACCCCCTACCTCAAGTTACACCCCTAAAATGAAACAGCCATTCATGACGTTTCACATTGCATCCATAGACAGTAAAAAAAATGGACACAGCGACACCATAGACCTCAACGGAGAAAAGTGAAGTCAATTAGAAGCACTCACTTCCTGATGGCTGAGCGTACTGCGCAGGCTCAAACTGAGCTTGACGACGTAGAAGTGGCGTGAGCAACCTGTCTGACAGTTCTAGTAGCTGTGCCAAGAGGAATCTGAATCATTTCCTTACGAATTTTGCAGAGACGGAGAGCGTGAGTGAGCTGTCCATGAGCTAGCAGCAGGATCAGCTTTATGACTTTCTCTGGGCTTCTCCCTTGACTTTATGCCTCCACGACCCCCGATTGCCTGTGAGCTTCTCCTCCTGTCTATACGGAAATTTCTCTACTGTGCGACAGAGTCGCGTGGTTATGACGCAATCGTTAAGCCTATTTTTAGAAATACGGCTTCTACGGGGCCATAACGTGTAACATTGTTGTTTCTTTAGAAATAAATAATGGACAAATGGAGTCTTTAAACGCCTCAGATGTAAAGTTATTCACTGTCAAAGTGAAGCCAAAATGAATGGTAGTCAATGGAATGCTACCAGCAGGTGAAGGGTTGCTAGCCAATGGCTGCCCCCATGGAAGGTACGCTTTCCGGCTGCTGGATTACCCCCTTGATTGCATCACTTGTACTGCTCTTCTTCTGCTTCACTTTCCTCGCTTTTAAACTGCACTATCGCCACCTAGTGATAAGGCATACAGATCATATAACATAGGCCTATCACCAGACACGCAAGTCATCATGTTTGTTTTTCTCAGTTTTTAAAGTATTTTTAGTATGAAACTCTAAAGTAAATTAAAACTTAATGGTTTTTAGCTATAATTACCATGAGAGTATTAATCTAATTATATATAAGGTATTTTATGTTTTAATAATAGCTGTTATATCATACTTGATAAGATTCGAAAGCAAAATAGGTTAGCCTTACAAACATTTAATCTTCAAAAGATTGTTTTAGTCAATGACATCTAGGAACATTATGACTTCATACAATCCGGAAAAAGTGCGTTGTAGTCCAAACGAGTCGTTTGTTGTAACGTTAGTTCTTGAAAGGGGATTCTGTTAAATAAAATATAGCCTACCTTTGGAGTGGACTTGAGCTTTAACCTTGCAGATATTTTATATGCTCAAACAGCTACATGACACACTAGCTAACTAAAGTGGAAAAGCATAATAGGACGGGACCCCTTTAAAATATGTTAGTGCCATTGTTTTGTTTCAAGATGCACACCAGTGATGTTTTTTTCTAAGGCACGTTTATAAAAACTACTTAAATGTCCTAATTGAACAAAGGTCTAATCCTGGCTTAATCTAAGCCTTGATAGATAGATAGATAGATAGATAGATAGATAGATAGATAGATAGATAGATAGATAGATAGATAGATAGATAGATAGATAGATAGGCCACCATATGTTAATCTGCCATCATTGCACAGTATTCTACGGGACGCCACACATGTTCCCATCCATCTTGTCAATCGAATTATCTGAAGTTCGGTAAAAAAAAAAACTCATGCGAATAAAGCTGGTGAAAGTGTGTTTCCATCAAACGGCTTTAAAGCAGAGAAAAAAACTGTGTGTAATGACGTCACATGCTGTTTTGCGATCAAATTGGTATATCGAATTGATTTGAGACATGTTAAGGTGTTTCCATTCATTTTCTCACCGAATTGCACAACATTCAAGCCAACATTTGCGAACAAAGTTTTACTAGGCAAAATGGATTGCACCATAATAACGTTTCCATCCGCGTTTATCACATAAGCCGTATAATTTATCGATCAAGATAAAATCCGATGACCGATCGTATTTCATTTGAGTCGATATGAAATTCAATCGAATTTTACTGTTTCCATAAGGCATTTTTCATTCGATATCACTTAATGCGGATAAAAACGTGTGGATGGAAACATAGCTACAGTTTTATGACTTTGCACTTGTTTGTGTGAAACTTTACCTTGTCTCCTGCAGTAAGGTTATTTTCTTCGTCTGGCAGTTTATTTGACTCAGTTTGAAGCGCGCAAGATGACCGCCGCGTGACAGCAGATCTAACGTTACCAGCATCCTCGAATGTTCTAGGCTTGCATGTGTTCTTATCTGCCAGCACTGAATCAATCATGTTTGCAGCCACTTTTCTCGGTAGGTTAATGGCATCCAGCGGGTCATCGAGAAACTTTGGTCTTTTCCTGCCGCGTTGTCCAGAGAATGACAACAACGAGGATGGATTAGCGTTTTGGATCAAATTCACACCTGCGACAGGTTTGTCGATGTTGAAGAGAAACCGAAAACTTCTTTTACTGGGGATTTCGGGAGGCAAAATGTTCTCTGCTCTCCGCTTGGTCATTTGTGCGACCTAACTTCAGAAAAGTTAAAACTTAGCCTATACAAAAGAAGAGCGGTAAGACTTTTTTTTAGTACGCAGAGCGGCATTCAATATTCTAGCCATTTACGACAGTTCAGTTGTGTCGTAACTGAAGTTGAACCGCATGTTTGAATACAGCGCCCTCTGTGGCCAGAGAGGTCGAACAACAACATCGTTTATTTTATTATATAGCAAAAAGCTAAACGGTTGTGAATGATATGATATCAACTATAAGAGTAAATGTTAAAACACATTAACTAACTTCCTAATAACTAATGTGAAATTTGTGTGGTGAACAATTAACAGTCTTAAAGGCTTACATACAGTCTTTGTATATGCAACAATATTCCAAATTTTCTTAATTGTAAAACAGTTTTATTACAGTATGTACAAGATCATGAAAATCTGTTAAGTTTAAAACAACTTTATTTTAGTGCTACCAACTAATACAATTTTAATGGCCAGCAAGTTTCCTCAGAGGGGCTGGAGTAACTGCGCAAGTCAAGATCCAGAGTAGGCTCTGTGAATACGATTTTGGACATGAAAACTGTGGTAGTGTAAACAATTGCAAGAAAAACACTGAAATGTATGTGTGGAGTGACAAGCGGCATTAGTAAGATGTGAAGCAGCACCTGAATCCTGAGGAATATGACTGCAAAGCAATGCACCAAAACATGACATATTTTTGGTAAATGTCTGAAATTATTCAGTACATAATAAAGCTCCAGTCTTATTGTATTACCAGGAACATAATGCTGACATTCATGATTAAAATCCTCAGTTTATTATTTGGGCCATTTGTCTGTGAATTCAGCCAGAAGTTCAGCCTTCTAAACATCATGTTGAGTTTCTTATCTGTAAAGAATCCTCAATCTGGCCATCTTTAGGTGTCTGATCTCCATTCATCAACTGTTCTGCAGGTTTCCGTACAATAAAAAAAACACAGTCGTAGAGGTATTTGAGCATGGAGCGATCGTTCTCCGTGTATGTGCTGGCCACAGACTCTTTCTCCAACTGTGAAAAGAAATACAGTAACAGTTTATAACAGTATTACTGTTAATAATAATTTAAAGAGTTGATAATTAACTGTTTACCTCTAGGACAAATCCATATTTTAAAAGGACAGCCTTTATGTCCTCATAGCTCAGCTCAATGGACAATTCATTAGCCATATTCTCATAGTGGTAAAGTAGTGGACCTTTGAGAACAAATACAAAGAATCTTTCAACCACACCTGTTTTCAGCATTTCAAATGTAGATAACATTTGACTGTGAATGATTAAGATTATACAGAATATGACTTACCCAAATTTATCCAGACACCACCAGGTTTTAGAATATTCCAGATGGTTTCAATGTAATCAAGAACATTGTGGGCAGTGTCAATGAAGAAGCAAGTAGCAACACAATCCCACATTTCTGTATGGGAGATACAACTTAAAATGTTCAAGTTTCAGATCTTTTACTGTCTCCATTTAAGTGCCATTTACAATTAGGTTGATGTTTATATTTTTTTTTTTTAAAAACTCACCAGGGTCACTGTATACTTCCTGGAAGTCTCCAGCGACCATAGAGAAGTCCGAGTCTGCTGGAAGACTCTGTGGATTGACATCAGGAAAGGACACAGGTCTTGTTTGGTCTGAGGACATTTTGTTATTACTGAACTGGTGAATCCAGGGATACAGAGTCAAAGCATTCTCCTCATCACACCTGAGAGACAAAATATCAGTTAGTTTCCTCCTTACTACAGATGTTATATACCATTCTGATTGCTCGATTCAAATTTGCTGTCCTAGAACTCAAAGAAGTTCAACCAGGGATACAAGTTCTAGTATACTTTACCTTATGCCTCTAAATTACACAACATGTCACTAATGATAAATAGAGGGCGTACCCCAACAGGGTATTATTACAACATGTTGTTAAGACCAAGAGAGAAATATAATAAATATAAAATAAGCTATATTTATGTGAATGGTACTACTTAAATTGTGAAGATTTTAGTGTGTTGTACCTATTCAGAACAAAATTAGAGGAGAAGAGCATGAAGAAACTCCACTCGTTGCCTTGGCACGAATAGCCCAGATGAGCAATTTCCCATGCAAGTCGACCTAGACCGGACCCGGGCACTAGCACTCTTACCTGGGACACATCACTGTAGAGAGAAATATAACTCAAAACTCATTTCTTTCCAAATTATAAGTTGAGCCCATTTGACACAAAACATAAGAACGCTGAATTCATTTAATCAGCAGACATTTTTCCAAAAAGAATACATTTTTCCAAGAGTTTGGGTCAATATTTTTATTCAGCAAGGGTAACTGATCAAAAGTACAAAAGATTTCTATATCAAGTAAAAGCTTGATAATACACTGATAATAATAAAAAATATCTATCGAGCACCAAATTAGCATATTAGAATGATTTCTAAAGTATCGTGTGACACTGAAGACTGGAGGAATGATACTGAAAATTCACTGGAAATAAATGACATTGTAATAGTATTTCACAATATTACTGTTTTACTGCATTTTTGATCAAATAAAACCTTGGTGAGCATAAGAAACTTTCAAAAACATTACAAAAATCTTATTGACCCAAACTTTTTAAGTAGTGTATATAGATACTGCATGCACCTTATACTTCGACAATGGACCGTATACTTAACTACAGAATGACATCAAAGTATATTTACCACTGGTCTGGAGGAAATAGTCTCTGGATCTCCTCTATAATAGGTTTGTAGCAGCTGTCCCTTTCACCCTTTCCTGCTGCACTCCAGTCACGGACAAACTGCTTTATGGTTGACTTCAGCTTGTCCATGTCAAAAGTTGAAGAAGGCCGTACTTTCCTTGGGTCACCCTTTGAAAAGCAGGAAAACTATTAGATTAATTGACTTACTACTAAACAGGATAATAAAAAAACACACTTCTGTCATCACAACAACCAAATGAAAAAATACAACATTATTAATTGTAAGACCTACTGATTGCCACCTACATCCTGTCCATATTCCATGTTCTCAAACATATCTAGGCAGTTGTTCACTATGGCCTGCATCACCTCCTGGTTTCGGTCAACACAGTAGCGGATCTTGCTCAGATTGGGCAGGAAGTTTGTCAAAAGTTGCTGGTGGTGATCTGGAAGGCATCGGAACTGCCGCTCGGCTCGATTCACTCGTTCGTGAACATGAATTCTGAACACAGTGGGAGACACAATATATATGGACAGAGGACAAAGTAAATTAAAGGGAGAATATATATATATATATATATATATATATATATATACACACACACACACACACACACACACTCACCTAAAGGATTATTAGGAACACCTGTTCAATTTCTCATTAATGCAATTATCTAATCAACCAATCACATGGCAGTTGCTTCAATGCATTTAGGGGTGTGGTCCTGGTCAAGACAATCCCCTGAACTCCAAACTGAATGTCAAAATGGGAAAGAAAGGTGATTTAAGCAATTTTGAGCGTGGCATGGTTGTTGGTGCCAGACGGGCCGGTCTGAGTATTTCACAATCTGCTCAGTTACTGGGATTTTCACGCACAACCATTTCTAGGGTTTACAAAGAATGGTGTGAAAAGGGAAAAACATCCAGTATGCGGCAGTCCTGTGGGCGAAAATGCCTTGTTGATGCTAGAGGTCAGAGGAGAATGGGCTGACTGTTTCAAGCTGATAGAAGAGCAACTTTGACTGAAATAACCACTCGTTACAACGGAGGTATGCAGCAAAGCATTTGTGAAGCCACAATACGCACAACCTTGAGGCGGATGGGCTACAACAGCAGAAGACCCCACCGGGTACCACTCATCTCCACTACAAATAGGAAAAAGAGGCTACAATTTGCAAGAGCTCACCAAAATTGGACAGTTGAAGACTGGAAAAATGTTGCCTGGTCTGATGAGTCTCGATTTCTGTTGAGACATTCAGATGGTAGAGTCAGAATTTGGCGTTAACAGAATGAGAACATGGATCCATCATGCCTTGTTACCACTGTGCAGGCTGGTGGTGGTGGTGTAATGGTGTGGGGGATGTTTTCTTGGCACACTTTAGGCCCCTTAGTGCCAATTGGGCATTGTTTAAATGCCATGGCCTACCTGAGCATTGTTTCTGACCATTTCCATCCCTTTATGGCCACCATGTACCCATCCTCTGATGGCTACTTCCAGCAGGATAATGCACCATGTCACAAAGCTCGAATCATTTCAAATTGGTTTCTTGAACATGACAATGAGTTCACTGTACTAGAATGGCCCCCACAGTCACCAGATCTCAACCCAATAGAGCATCTTTGGGATGTGGTGGAACGGGAGCTTCGTGCCCTCGATGTGCATCCCACAAATCTCCATCAACTGCAAGATGCTATCCTATCAATATGGGCCAACATTTCTAAAGAATGCTTTCAGCACCTTGTTGAATCAATGCCACGTAGAATTAAGGCAGTTCTGAAGGCGAAAAGGGGTCAAACACAGTATTAGTATGGTGTTCCTAATAATCCTTTAGGTGAGTGTGTATATATATATATATATATATACACTCACCGGCCACTTTATTAGGTACACCTGTCCAACTGCTCGTTAACACTTAATTTCTAAGCAGCCAATCACATGGCGGCAACTCAGTGCATTTAGGCATGTAGACATGGTCAAGACAATCTCCTGCAGTTCAAACCGAGCATCAGTATGGGGAAGAAAGTTGATTTGAGTGACTTTGAACGTGGCATGATTGTTGGTGCCAGAAGGGCTGGTCTGAGTATTTCAGAAACTGCTAATCTACTGGGATTTTCACGCACAACCATCTCTAGGGTTTACAGAGAATGGTCCGAAAAAGAAAAAACATCCAGTGAGCGGCAGTTCTGTGGGCGGAAATGCCTTGTTGATGCCAGAGGTCAGAGGAGAATGGCCAGACTGGTTCGAGCTGATAGAAGGGCAACAGTGACTGAAATAACCACTCGTTACAACC